TAAAACTAGTACTAAGATCTACTCGTGTACTCAACGTCTCTTGAAAAGATTCCCAAATTGTGATGTGAATTGTGATCCTCTATCAGAGATGATGGACAATATAGCACTATTGAGTCAGATAATTTTTTCATCTATGTATATCTGTGCATATTTTTCCTTACTATACGAATTTTGACTAGCAAGAAATGTACCTAGTATGTAAGCCAATTTACAACTTTCCCACATATAATTATACCTCTAATAGTTTAGATAATTTAGACATATATGTATTATAATTCTATTGCATTTCTACTTCTGAATCTTGTGTTGTTGTAGTGGGCTTGTGAGAAAGAATTGTTTGCTTTAACATGCCGACATATCAAATAGTTAGACTTGCGATCCAATTTTTCTTTTCCAACCAATCCAATTTTTTTTCTAGTCATATTGCATCTTATAGACTTACGATATATAGTGTATCTAGAGTTGTACGCTCCCTCACAAATAACCTGTCTCAACCCATATATGTTTGCTACACATAATTGATTACCTAGTCGGAGAATACCATCATTATTAACAATCATATCCTCGTTTTTACTAGCTAAAAACTAATCTCGGTACTTGAACAATTGCTCATCCTCGTATTGACTAGCCTTTATGCACTCTGCATCAATCTGGGCCAATAGCCAATAATGTCTTTAAATTTTTTTTTTTTCACACTGAGTTTACCTTCTTGTCTATGTGAATCTTTGTACAGAAGTATCTTCCAGGAACTATATGCGCCAAATTACCCATGTATTTTATTTTTTTTTTGCATAAGCCATAATATTTTATATTTTTCATACAGTACAAAATAGTACAATTATATCTTCAGTAATTCCCTCAATTGGCATTGATAAATATTTATATTTTTTGTGGTTTTAAATGTGCCTCATGCTCTTGTACTATGTATAAATCTCATAGGTTTCTTCGTATAAATAGTAAATCCTAAATGGAAATACCATTGTGACCATCTCCAACTCATGAGTGGCATCATCTAACTTACGCTTCTTCAACTTTATTGAAGCACAAGTTATTACACGACTATTCTGCATGAGAAAATATCCTAATCCTACCCTCGAAGTATCACAGAACATTGTGAATCCTCTAGAGCCTACTGGAATAAGGATAACACTGGTATGGTTGTCAAACATGCATTTACTTCTGGAGTCTCATCTTACATTCCTACATTCACTGAAATTTGGTGACTTTCTATGTTAACTTGGTGAGTAGTGGTGCTATTCTAGAGGAATCCTATACAAATAATGCTTGTAGTAGCCTGTCAAGCCAAAAAAAAAAGCAATCTCTTTAGGAGAAATGGATCTCGGCCATTTAGGAAGTGCTCTATCTTCTCAGAATCTACCATCTTTTCATTTTTAGATATCATGTATCTTATGAATACCACCGAGTCTAGCTAAAGTTCACACTTCAAGAATTTGGTAAAAAGCTAATTTTTCGGCAGCATCTATAACACAATTTTTTTTTCTTCCAAGTAATTCTTCGTGTTCTTTCTAGATACAAGAATATACTAAATATCATAAATAATGGCCATGATTCCAAAAACAACTTGAACACCATATTTATTATATCTATGAATGCGGCTAGAGAATTGGCCAGTCCGAAATGCATCACAAGTAACTCATAATGTTTGTACTGAGTTCTAGAGGCTTACATTGAAATATCTTCCTTTCTTATTCTAAGTTGATGATAACCAGACTAAAGATCAATCTTCTAAAAGTGGGAGGCTCCTTGTAACTAATCAAACAAGTCATCTATACGAGACAATGAGTATATATTGCATATTGTTATCTTAGTTAATTGTATGTAGTAAATTTACATTCTTACGAACCTATTTCCCCCTCTCTCTTTTTTATCCAACAATATTGGTGCACCCCATGGTGAAACACTTGGTATGATAAAACTCTTATTCAATAGGCTTTGCAATTGTTCACTTAGCCCTCTCGATTCCATTGGTTTCATATGATATAGTTTGTATGTCAAGTGTCAGCTCAATACCGAAGTCTTTCTCGTATTGGAGGTAGTCCTAGTAAATTCTTAGGAATAAATTAGAGAATCTCTCATTATGATACTTCTTCTTTTTTTCAAACTAAGTATTTCTTCTCTTGTGCCCCTTACCGTATCTATGAGATCCAAACAACCTTTCTTCTATAACCATTAAGTCTTCAATATATATAATTTGCTCGTCTCTAAAACCTTTAATCCCTTTTTTTGGACAAAACTAGCTTTTAAAGTTTACCAAACCTAATAGTTTTTCCATTGTAATCGAGGGTAGCATGGTAAGAAGATAATTAATCCATATCCATATGTACATTAGAGACAACCATATCAAGTACAACTTTGTTAGTTAGGGTTTTCTTAAAAGTATTAAACATATTTCTAACTACTATAAATTTTTCATAGATGTGGCAACCCGAAAAAGATCGCTTAATATCTGAAAATGTTCTTGATTTTTAAATCTTCGATTTATATTAAAATCCATACTAAAAGATATTTTAATCTCGATCTTCTTAAGTGAGTTTTCGCACGCCTATCATGTCCAAATTTTTAATCTTTCTGGTAAGTGCAACTACTATAAAAGAGGTTTAAGTCTTCAATCTTCATATATGCAGTTACTACCTTGTTTAAATAATTGATGAACCTTTCAACAAGCCTCTAAACTTAAGATGTTGCTTGTGTATCCAGCTGAGAAAGTTTGGTGTTATATGTAAGTATACCCAACGTCTAAATCAATTTCTTAAATGATCTAGCTGGAAAGTTCACGTCACAAACTGTTAAGAAGGAAGTGATTCATAAACACTTTAGTGAAATTATTCCCAAATTAGTTGTGTTGCTCTTGTTGACATCTCTAAGAAAATAGTAGCATTTCATGTATTCGCCCTGTTCTCTAGTCTAAAAGTTGCATGTTCCGTAGAACTCTTCATTAAATATCTTATAGCTCATAACGTGGTAAGTATTCTGCTAAAACATTTAAGGATCTTTTGAACTATCAGAAATGATAAACTTAGTAGTTTCAACTTTAGGAACTTTATTAAGAATATTTTATTGTTTCCCATAATCTTTTAGGTGCATGAAAACTTTAGAGCCCCTATTGCGTTGTTCATTCTTCTCATGTTTATCTATTATATTCATAGAGATCTCTTTCTTTTTTTCTTTTTCATGGAGGTAAGTACCTTTTTATGATAGCACTCTTCTATCGCTGTAGTGGTGGACTAGTATAAATTTTCGAAATGGACTCTATTACACATCTTACCAGAAAGCACCTCATATGGCACAATGGACATTTCACTGGTCTTGTATACCACTTATGTAGCATTTCTTTGCTCGGAGATGGTTGCATGTCCATTGGCAAAATTTGACATCTTTGAGGTTTGAACCTCTAGCCAAATTCTATTATAGGGTAATTGGTCCGAGCCATACATGAATAGGATAAGTAATGATAGATTCAGTTATCTGACCCTACTCGCCACACACGTTCGGTAGAATAAGAAAAAAAGACAAGACACATCCTATCATGCCCTCGTAGAATCACGATTATGGGAATGGCCAGCTACATAACTATAATTGAGATTTTACTACCGACGTGTGCTCCATTAGTCACAAGAATAAACTAAGGCTCTGCTACCAACTTTATCACGACCCAATTTAGGGCCATGACCGGCGCTAAGAGGTAGGATCTCAAAGCAAGCCTTAACAGGAATTTACAGAAAATCGGGCAGAGTTTCCTCTGTTTTAGGACTATCCAAAAATTTACTATGTTTCAGAATAAAAAACAGAACCAACCTATGTCAACCAAAGTATCTCCTAATCCTCATCAGTTAATAATACATTTATTCACCACTATTAATAAATCGATTGTACCAGAGTAATACTTAATTCATCTTCAAAATATGATAAGGAAGTCTAATACTAGTTATAGTTCTAAAATAAAAAAGAATACTCATGACACAAAAAAATGACTATGGAGTGACTCTAAGAGTTTTAATGAAAAGAACATAACAAATGAATAAACTCTTCGCCCACGCAAACAAGTGCGGGGCTCATAAGAAATTTGTCAAATCGTGTACTCTAATTAACTAAATCCTCGCTCGCTCAACTGATGTCTCTGTAAAAAAATAGTGGGAAGTGAGTTGCTATCTTAATGAGTAATAACACTTAACCACAACCGTTTTTAATTGGGAACAAGTCAGAAAACATGCCTGTATAATAATAATAATTAGAAACTATCATAAAAATAAAATGCCTTTTCAAAAACAGTAATAATAATTAGCCTCATCATGTGTTTCCTATAATAGAAATCAATTTAATAATTCAATAATAAACTCGGTAAGCATTGTGTCATATAAAATCTTTATGTTTGGGAGGTTTCCAAGGAAGGATCATGTAATTTGTATCACTGTGTGGACTCCTTCGTAGAAGGAGTCAAATATAACTGTAGGTCCTTACTCGAAGGAAAACTGTAACTGTATGCTAGTTCTACCTTCCCACTAGCCAGGGCTATAACTGTACTCGGTAATCGGTAAATACAAGGTGCACCAGGTCTAACGAACCCGCCGTTAGCTACGGGATCCTTCAAAATCTCCTCTCATTCATGCTTTTCTTTGTAAACAACAAGTCTTCACATGAAATCATTTTCAAAATAGTAAAAGGCATATCTTTTCTTGTCAAATTTTGTAATTTCATTTCGATAACGGTAATCATATCTCAAGTAATGGTAAAACATGTCTAGTAATAGTGAGAACAATTTAAATAACTGTAACATCTCCAGTAACGGTAAAACATATCTAGTAACGATAAAAATATTCAGATTAACTGGTAAACATCTCAAGTAATTATTCGGTACCATATTAAGTAAAGGACTCGTCCCACATACAAATTTCAAAGCATCGGTAACATATTTATTTTCAAAGTCATATATAAACCATGTAGTTTATGAAAACACAAATTGTGATAAGATCACTACTCACAGTACTCGTGCAGGAATACCCAATGCGCCATCTCGAACACTTTGTTCAACTTCTTCAACTACCTACTTGTAACAAAACCAATCTATGTCCGTGAATTCTAACATAGCTGGTCCAATCCTTCAAATCAAATTAATTTCCCTCAATTAGTACTAGTACTAAATATTTCTAGCTTGTATATAACCTAAAAAAATCTTCAGTCAATTTAATATGAATCCATTTTTGTTATATAAGAATATCTTAAGTTGTTAGTCTTATTTCTACCCTAGTAATAAATAGTAATATGTTAGGCATTGAGTAAAGGGAATAACTGATAGATTACCATGGAAAAATTAAAATTTAATTACTTAATTTGTTCTCCTGCTTCGAGAATCCCTTCGCTAGAAAGAAGAAGATCCTCACCTCGCCGTTCCCTTTGATCGCTCCTGTGAGTTTGCCTCTGCCGAATTCCATTACTTTGCCCCAATCCCTTTTTCTTCTGCTAAGTAGTGGGTTGGCCCTAATTCATCTTATGTTATTTTTTTGGGTTTAAGTTATGTTAAAGGACTAATATACCCTATTATACCCTATCTAAACATGGGGTATTACAACAGCTCCATCAAAATCCAGTTGATCTTCCATCATTCTCGAGCACAAATTGTTGGTTGCGTTGACGGTGAGTATTTCGGTTAAAATTAACAAACTGCTATAATTTGAGTTGAGTTCTATCTATACAAAGGTCATTTTTCTCTTTATTTTACTGTTCTAATTGATATTTTACTTTGATTGATGTAGCTAAAAGCTTTTAGCTATTTCGTTGGTTAAATCTCCCAAAAATGAATGTTGGATGTTTGTTTGGTTTGATAAATCTTGAGAAGAAGAAATATGATTCTCGCCTTGTTCTTCATTAATGCATAAAGTTTGATATTATGTCTGTTTATTTTAAGACTTAAGTGAGTGAAAGTTTTTTTTTTGGACGAGTATGTCATTGATTCCAATCCAATTTTGTTTGCTTGTATGATCTCTATCTGTTTCTTTTTAATCGAAATGCTTTTGTTGTTATTGCTGTGTCATTTTATTTGGGTAGGTGTTTGAACACTCTTACAATATTAATTTAAAATCCTGATTCATAATTTTCATGAAGGAAACTTTAGAAAGTTGCTCGAATAACAACTGGGCTATGAGTTTTTGATAATTGAGAAATTGATTTTGGGCGAAAAAATAAATAAATTCTGCTAGGCCCACTTTCATGTTAATTGGCCACTGGCCCAATTCAATAAGAGCTGTAGTTGGCTCATTTCTTTGTGAATACATTTAGCTGGCCTACTTCACTTGCTAAATAAATGTCAATCACCTCCATATCCTGGCCCATTAGTTTGCAATAATCTCAAAGTTTTAGGAAGAACCATTCATTAACGTCGATAGTATTACTTTAGGCACGTTCTTAATAAATCAATTATCATGATTATGTATACGTTCACGTGACATAATTATGATTCCCAAGATAAACCAAAATACGCATTCGCGCGACTTTGGCCGAACAATCTTGATCTTAATAAAGCGTGATAAATTGTGTACACGTACGCGTGACATGATTTTAACACCCCAAACAAAACAGATTTACAGACATGTAATATGTTTCGAAAGATAAATCCATAAATGCCATAATTAAAAGCGGTAAAAGGATAAATGTACATAGGTTCTAAAATAAGTAATTAAATAAATTAATTAAATCAGATATTATTAAAGCGACTGTGCTAAAATTACGGAACCCGAAAATGCATAACACTTTCTCCCGGATTAACAGAATTTATTACCCGGTCTTCTGGTTTTGCGAACTTTAAAACAGAGTCAAATTTTCTTGATTTGGGATTTAAAATAAACCAGTGACTTGGGACACCATAAATTATTCCAAATGGCGACTCTGAATTAAATATATAATCTCATTTTGATTAATGTCAATTTAATTGGAAAAACTCCCTATCTCTTCGGGAAAAAGGAGGTGAGACAGCTCTAGCGATTCTGCTGGGGACAAGAACCCAGAACATCTGGTTGAGAGTTCAGAATTCGAGCTTGTAATATGATCTATACTTGACTTTCTTGATTTTTGATATTACTGTGTTTGTGGACCTAATGTGCTAATTGCCGCTTATTTGCCGCTTTGATATTATTTGAACTATACAAATTGTCTTCTTACTGTGACGACCCGGCCGGTCGTCTTAAGAATTAACGCCTCGATCCCCTATTAACTGCTTTCCCCGAGTTTATTTCTGCTATGTTGATTTGCCGGGATGTTCGATTTTGAGTTTCGGAGAGTTAGTGGACACTTAGTCCCTAAATAAGAACTTAAGTGTTGGAAAGTTGACCGTAGTCGGAATAGTGTGAGACGGCCTCGGAATGGAAATTTGATGGTTCCGTTAGCTCCGTTAGGTGATTTCGAGCTTAAGGGCGTGTTCGGATTGTGTTTTGGAGGTTCGTAGCTAATTTAGGCTTGAAATGCCGAAAGTTGAATTTTTTAAGTTTCCGGTTCGATAGTGAGATTTTGATTCGAGTGTAGGAATGGAATTCCGAGAGTTGTAGTAGTTCCGTTATGTCATTTGGGATGTGTGTGCAAAATTTCAGGTCATTCGGAGGTGGTTTGGTTGGGGTTTTTATCAAAAGCGTGATTCGAAAGATTTTGGAAGACTTAGGCTTGAATCCGATGTGTTTTGGTTGAATTGATATTGTTTGAGGTGTTTTGAAGATTCGTACAAGTTTGAATAAGGTTTTAGGATATTTTGGTGCCTTTGGTTGTGGTCCCGGGGGCCTCGGGGTGTGTTTCAGATGCTCAATGGATAATTTTAAGTTGTTAAAAAGTTGCAGATTTTGTTCAGCTGTTGCAGAGGAATTTTACCCTTCGCGTTTGCGAGTGGAACCTCGCGTTCGCGAAGAGTCATTTGAGGAAGGCAAATATTAAGCCTTCGCGTTCGTGATGGGAGATCAACGTTCGCGAAGGGCTGGATACTTGTGAACCGCGTTCGCAACTGGGCTTCGCATTTGCGAAAGAGGAAATTCGGCCCAGTAGAATTTACTCATCGCGTTTGCGATGAGAGGAATGCGTTCGTGAAGGTTAGACAGGTAAAACATTGCATTTGTGAGGGCCTTGTCGCGTTCGCGTAAGAGAACTCTTGGTCAACGTCATTTTTGTGCTTCGCGAACGCGAGGCTTTGACCGCGTTCGCGAAGAAGGAATTAAATGCCTGGGCCGAATGTTTTAAAAGGTTTATTTCGCGAATTTTAGCCTAGGTTCCTCCTTTGTTAGGCGATTTTGAAGCTTTTTGAAGAGGGTTGAAGAGGGATTCAAGGGGAATCACTTGGAGGTAATATTTTTGACTTCATAACTCATTTTTTTATGTGATTAAAGACCTAATTAGTGTGTGAAATTTGGGAAAAATGAGTAATTAGGGCTTGAGTGTAAGAGGCTTTAAAATGAGGATTTGAGGGGCCATTTGGACTCCGATTTTAGTGTTCTTGTTATGTATAGACTCGTGAGAGTACGGGGTTTTGAAAATGTAAATTTCACCCGATTCCAAGACGTGGGCCCGTGGGGCGTTTTGGTCATTTTACATAATTTCGCGTATTAGCTTAGAATTTAATTGTAGAATCGGTTACTTGAAGTGTTATGTACATTATGCAAATGAATTGAATAGATTTGGGCCATTTTAAGTTGAGTACTCATGGCAAAGACGTGGTGTCCGGTTGATTTTGAGCCGGTTCGAGGTAAGTGACTTGTCTAACCTTGTGTGGGGGATTTTCCCCTTAGGATTGATATATTTGGTAATTGAAATTCCTTGTACGAAAGGTGACAAGTGCGTACTTGTGCAAATTATTGGAAATCCGGTTTTCTTTAAGTACTTATCAGTATGTTCCTTCTCCTGCTTTTATTACTTGTACTATTAAGCCCGTTATTAGCTTAGGAAAGCATGTCTAAGTGATTTAATTGTTTTAATTGTTCAATCTGTTTACCTGAACTCTGTGCAGCATGCTAGGCAAGAATTATTTGTTGCCTTAATATGAAATTTCCCTTCTCTAAATATTTTCTTGCTGCTGCTGTGTATTTACATTGGGAATACGAATGCGGGATTCCGGTAGCTCCCCCTTGTCTGTTTACTTTGGGACTGCAGGTTAGATTCCCGATTGATCCCCCTGCACATTTACTTTGGCATTGCAGGTTAGATTCCCAATAGATCCCCCTGTACAGTTATATGGAACTAGGGAATGGACCCGGTAGATTCCCCCAGTACTGGGTATTTATATTTGGGACTACGGATTGGGATTCCGATAGATCCCCACACATTGATAGTTAGACTACGGGACGGGATCTCGGGATATCCTTCAGACATATATATGATAGACTACAGGACGGTATCTCGGGAGATCCACTGGACAGTTGTAATTGGGACTACATGACGGTATCCTGGAAGGTGCCCCGGTTGTTATCTCTGTGTTAAGCTGTATTTCTTTCCGTGGCTTGTTTTGTCTCTGTTCTAGTTGTTGTTATTCTATCAATTCTATGTTATTTCTTACTGTTGCACTTATTTATACTGTTTTATTCCACACTGTTAACCCTTATATTGTATTTAACCTCAGTAGGGCCCTAACCTTCCTCGTCATTACCCGACCGAGGTTAGGCTTGGCACTTACTAAGTACTGTTGTGGTGTACTCATGCCCCTTCTGCGCATGTTTTTCATGTGCAGATCCAGATATTTCTACTCAGGCCTACCATCCTTGAGGGAGGCGACTAGTTAGAAACTTCGAGGTACATCTGCCGCATCCACAGACCGAGGAGACCCTTTCTATTCCTTCCTTTTAGTATTTAGCCCTTCTGTACTTTCTGTTCTTATTAGACAAATTTCGGAGTTAGAGCTATGTACTATTTCTTTTTCTTAGCTTATGATTCGTGGGTTTTCGGGTCTTGGATTTGGATATTGGTTTTGAGATTTATATATGGTGCATGCCGAGCGGCACATTTAAACATTGTTATTGCCTTATTTATGCTTTTAAATTGTTTTACTTCCGCAAGTTTTGGTTATCTTCTACAATTTAGGCTTACCTAGTCATAGAGACTAGGTGCCACCATGATGATTCACGGAGGGCGAACCGAGGTCGTGACAAGTTGGTATCAGAGCTCTAGATTAATAGGCGTCATGGATCACAAGCTGGTTTATTAGAGTCTTGCTGATCGGTACGGAGACGTCTGTACTTATCTACAAGAGGCTACGTAACCGTTAGGAAAATTTCACTTCATTTGATTTCCCTGTCGTGCGAGATTTTTGACATCACAAATTCTGAACTTCTATCTTCTATTCTCTTACCGATGGTGAGGACACGCGCTACCTGAAATGATACAGGCACCCGCGCCCCTGATACAGTCACCAGAAGTCGGGGCCGGGGTAGAGGCCAAGGACGCGCACGCGATGAAGCAAGAGCACCTATGAGTTAGACAGTCCGGATGAGGCTGCTTCACTGACTTAGACTCAGTTTTCAGATCTGTTCCTGAGAGAGTATGTTCCTCAGAGCCTCAGGGACGTATGGCGCGCAGAGTTTGAGCATTTGCACCAGGGCGCTATGACTATCTCAGA